GACAGCGAGGCACTGAGCTCCTCGAAGGATGAGCAAAGCTGAGTTTCCATCAGGGAAGCCAACACTACAGACTGCTCTGGGAGTCTGAGCTGTGCACCATCTTGCCCCTCTGAAGCCAGTAAGCAACACTCATAGTGAGAACCAGAACTCCCCTAAAGTGCACCACAGCCATCCTCATGGACAGCAAGGTCCTGAGCTCCTCATCCGGGGAGAACAACCAATTTCATCAGGAAAGCCAGCATGACAAGGTCCCCCAGCAGAATAGACCAAGAGAATCAGTAACTTAAAAAGCTCCAAAAGCTTCTTCAAAACAGCTTCCCCAACATCTTCTCTTCTTCTGCTCCATTTCTGCCTCTTATGTTGCTCATCCCTCAGGTAGGTATCTCCCACTCCTAGCACCATGTTAGTTCAGTTCAGCTGGATAAAACAAGTTGACCCCCCTTGGAAATCCACCACAGCAAACAATACACAAATGAAAAATGTCCTGACCAGGAATGACTATAAAATATTTCCCCAGAGCCTATGAATCAACTATTGTAGAAGCTAAATAATAGCCTCTGCATTACTCTGCACAAAACAATCTGATCTTTCCTACAACGCCAGCTTCCTTGGGTTTTACCATCCTCACAACTCAGGGTCAACCACAGAAAATCAAATGTGGCCTCCAAACTCATCACCCAAAGTGCTGCAGTTTTAAAGGTCCCACCTCCGCTTTCTCCATGCAACAATCTCCAGTGCAAGCATATCTATTAGGTGTGGCATAAAGTTTCTTTACTTCCTTGCTTCTTTTGAATCTCTGCCCAGTGCAGTTGATAGTGTTTGGCTTGCTGCCTGTAGTAAGCTTTGAATAACAACTTCTACTTGTTCTCATGTGGACCAATTGTATTTATTTGCATACCACAAACTGATAAGAAGCAAACAGAGAAAGACTATAAATAGAGTGATGATTGTTTTTCCTCTTTGATTTAACAGTAGAGGGTCAGGAGTTTTACACCACACTGTTTGAGGAGCCAGATACACCGCATATTTTCAAAAGTGCCAAATTCACTGTGTGGCATTCCCCTGAACTCTAAAATACTGCATTTCCTTAAAGCTTTGACCCCCAACACCTGCCCACTATTTCCATGACTAATGACTTTTTTTTTTGACATCAGAGGTGTGAATTAAAGCTGGAAAGAGCAAACTATCTCTGCTACAATACTAGAACACAGCTCAGGATCACACACTTGAACAAGCATCTTATGAGAAGTATCTCTCATGAGTCTTGTAATGATCCTTCATTTATTCAACTGTTAATAGTTTTTGAAGACATACTCATTTGTGTTATACATTTTGCTAGGTCTTAACTATGTAGGAATGGAAGATGATTTTTTTTCCATCTAAGGACTTGCATTCTGGCTAAGGAGATAATCCAATTCTTCCCCCTTTTCAAGTACATTTGGATATACATAATTATACATTTTTATATGAACCAAGAAGAAATAATTACAGTGTTCTATAAGAAACTTAAATTGGATACTAGAGATAGTATCTATGTTCTATACTTAGAGATAGTCATCTACTAAAGTCATATCCAAGGTGAAACCCTTTGGATAACTTTTCCAGGCAAAGAGGATTAAAAATGGACATTCTAGACCAAAAAATCACATTTTTCAAATTACTAGAAAACTATGTTCTGTGAAGAAATGAAAAATGGTTAGTGTCGCCCAAATATTGAAAGTATCAAAGAAGATGATAAGAGGCCAGCAATGCTTTGAAATCATATTTGTATTTTACTCTAAGTTCAATTGGAATCTGTGGGTGTTTAAACAGAAGAGCCTCATGGACAGATTTGCTTTCAAAAACACCACTCTGGCTGCTGTTGTTGGAGGAGCAACTCATAAAGGAAACAGAATAGAAGGGCTTGTGGAAACTCCATTCCAGGGGCACAAGTTAAAGCATGCTCCAGTTTTGATTGTGGCAGTGGATGTGGTGAGAGATTCTAAGCTTATTTAGAAAATAGAATCTATGATGTGGTCTTCGAACTGACCAAAGCCCCATTTACTGTGACTTTTCCTTTTTGTGAGCATTCAACACAAGAATCTTATACAGGAAGTAAATTGAGCTAACTGAGGTGGACAGGGTCTGAAGCGGCACCCACTGTAATGCCTTCTTTTCCGTCCTCTTCTCCAAAGAAGACACTGCCAATGCCTAGAGACGGTGTCTGGACAGATGCAGTATTGGTGATCGTTCTTGAAGCACAGTTGCTTGAGATGAGTTTCCACCAATGCCCACGGCAAAACAGAATTAGATCACTCATTATGATCTCTGGCCAATATCTAAATGGCAAGAATGTCCACCCCAATTTAAGGCCTGTTTCTCTGAGCATGTAGCTCCCCTGTCTGCCCTTTTTTCTGGCTGTGTGTTCTACTAAAAGCCGGCCCTGGATTTTATTTCCTGTCAACTATTTTAATCTTCAGGTTCATATGTGAGAAAATAATTCAAAGTCTGTAATTTTAATGACATAAAAATACATGCATTTCATTTTTAAATCACTTTTAATGCCAGATTTCATTTTTGTTTTCTATTTATATGTTTGATGAGACAAACTGGCTTTGAACTCAGGGTAATCCTCCTGCCTCAACCTCCCAAGTGCTGGAATTACAGCTCTGTGTCCCATCTCATATTATGATTTTATAATTCTGTTCATTCTGGGCAGATTTCCTTTGCTATTATATAATTTACTTGTGAACAAGTCTTCTGGTTTATCTCCTACTGAGTTTCCTAATCCATGGGCTCTACCAAGGAAGGAATACTGCCATTTTCATTTTTTGGATTAATAACTATACTTTACAGGAAAAAAACTTAATGTCACATGCCCATTTCTCTTTACTATTCCTCTTCCCATTTGATGCTTTCTTTTCCAACCTTTGGTTTATCATGAGTGTCTTTCCTTCTTGCTACTTTGCCATCTAACTACTTCATTTCACGTTAAAAAAAACTACCAGTGCGTCACTGGTCCTTAAACTAATGGTTTTGTTGACGAAGCTTTCATCACTGCTTTGCTGTTTTCTGTCACTGATTATCCATGTCTCACTTCTATTTAGAATTGTCACAAATTCTTGGCCTCATACCAAAGTCATATCCAGTTACAGTGTCTTCCCAAGCAGTGTCCCAGGCCATTTTCTCATTGGAACCACATAATGTATTAGTTCCCTGCAATAGCCTGACCTAGCACTTATGTAATGACTCACATCTAGCATCTCAGCTCTATCCCACTCCATCGCTCATGGGTTTGTGTGCGGACATACACAGAATGATTAAGTCAAATCTTATGCTACACCGTTCTTCACATTACTAACTCCTTCTGGAATGACTCAGTGTGTACTCATCAATAATTTTGCACTATTCAAAGTTTAACGTTGAGTACCCCACCTACAGGGACTCTTTATATATTTGTCAGAAATCCTCATTCACTATTCAGTTGAATTACTGAAAAAGACAGCTTTTCATGGCTATGTGTTATCCTTCTTTTGAGTAAAAGTAACATGTGTAATTCATTTAACAAAACAAATTTTCAGATTTCAGAAGTGACTACAGAAATCAGGAAATTTCATAGTAACAAACATAGCTCATACTGTTTTACCTTGCTTTCATTATGACGGATGATCATATGTAAATGGAAACTAATACATCTATATCTATATCTATATCTGTATCTATGTATCTATTCATTACATTAATAATTAATTTGATGGTATAGAAAATGTCTTCAAATTTACTGTTTTGATTCCAAGATAAGACTGGGTCCATGGTAACAGGAGAAAATCACTACTTTTATGCTGTCATGTTGAAATTTGAGCAATGATCAAAGCTCATCTTGGTGAACTGGCTGTTACAAAATAAGGTAATGACACTGAGAGTGAAGAGTGGGGTCATGGCCTTAGAAGCTGACCCAATAGCATCATTATCAAATCTAGCTTTGTGTACCAACAAGGGCTGTCCTCTCAGAAGCGAGGCTGTTCCACAGTGACTGGCTCATGAATGAGTTTGACTTTGGATGCTCTTGACAAAAGGTACAGTCTGAACTCCCAGAGGAAGGAAGTAATAACCCTATCATCCTGAGTCATTACTTACTGTGATACATTTATCCCAGTTTTGGTGACCTTATTAAAAAATGTGTGTTTCTCTCTCCAGGCCAGTTGAGTCATCAGCCAAATATGCCCCTTTCTCTGAAGCTGAAAGAGCCTCTCTTCTGACTCAGACTCCTCATACAATTAGTACTTGTGATCCACGCTGTCCATTCAGTTACCAGGCGGAACAGATTTTATGACCTTTGAGGCATTTATCACAGTCAAATAGAATTTTTCTTAACTTGTTACTAAAATATTTGTTTATCTGTGATTTGCAATTAATCTAGGTAAAAATATATAAATGTATCTATATACAAATGTAAGCAAACTTATAAAATGTTCTCAGTGGGAGTGCATACCCAAATTTCTTGCCTGTATTGTATTCCAATCCCTTAAAACAGAATGAAGTAAAATAAGTCAGTGTAAAGTTTGGTGTTCATGTTCATACTTAATTTACTTGCTGCATGTTAATTTGGGTACTTCACTTGGCTGTGAAGTAGCGATAAAAGCATGCTTGCATATTCAAGTCTTTTGAGGGCCAGCTCCTAATAGGAAAGTCTACGCAAACAAAAGTGATTATAAGCTGAATGTACAAAAACCTCCATTAAACCAAATACATTCTAATTACTATATCAGATATTAAGATAATATGCATTTGGAGTCATAGAGGATACTTAAAACTTCATGCACTTAAAAAATGAGAAAAAATTATTTAAAGTGTCACAAGATATCTGTGTCCTTCAATCTTAACTGTCAATTGCCTGTGATATAATAACTTAAGGATTTATAGTTTAAGGTTACTCAATAAAGTTAATGGTGAAATGTAACTATAGTATAGCTTACTTTTTTTAATAATTAAAGAAAAAAATACCAGAATGACTCAAGTACCTTCTCCAGACCTTCTTCTTTAAGACTGATCACATCCAAATCAAAATCTGTCCGTAGGCCATTGGTTTTATTGAAAGTTATTCTGCCTGTGAGGCCTTCCCAGTGAGCCTATGAAGAAAACAGAACAAAACAAATTTAAAAACTTGAAAAATTAGTAAGTAAACACAAAATACAAAATGCTTTCCTCCCATCACTAGAAAAAATATTTGCATTGCTTTTCATGATTTTGAATTGGTATAGATTTTTTAAAATGTTTAATTTGTCTCTGAAATTTGAAGGATTTTTTTAAAAATATGTCTAGTTTCAGTGTTAAATTTATTTGAAGCTTTTCATGTTACACAGTTCATTTTCAGCAGCATAAAATATTGGCTACTCAAACTTGAGTATTTAGATTTTCTTTAAATATAAAAGCTTACAAAAGTCGTCCAATTTAGGTTCTTTCATCATTTTTCATTTGGAAAAACGTTGGGCAAAAATTTTATTTTTTATTTATTTTTTAATTTTTGTGGAACCAGGTATTGAACTCAGGCCCTTGTGCTTGCCAGGCAAGCGCTTATTCTACTGAGCTATCTCCTTGGCCCCTGGGCAAAAATTTTAAATGATGTAATGCAACTCACAAATGTAGTGTTTGAATTAATATAAATGAAGACTCAAAAGAAATAAATCCCAAAACATGCAGGGCAATATTTTGGTAATGACTAAAAATGAGTGTCATTGTAACAGTGAATCTTAGCCTCAATGTGATTTACAGGTACTTATCTGCCAGAATTCCAGAATAGTTTTAATTAATTATAAATAAAATAGAAAACTATATATTATAACATGTCTTCACTAAAGTTAAACATATGTCAACTGGTTTAGAAAGAATCAGGTCTAATTTCCTTATAAGATTTTTTTCTTTTCTTAAAGAGACAGGCTCTTGTGATGCAATTCAGCCTAGCCTAGAGCTCATTTTGTAGCCCAAGGTGTTCTAAACTTGCAAGGATCCTCCTGCCTCAGCCGCCAGAGTGCTGAAATTATAAGCATTTGCCACCAATTAAATTTTAAGGTGTTTAACAAAATTGTATAATACAATGAAAGTAGAAAAAGAGATAAAAATGCACTGAAACTGAAGAGTGGAATAGTAAAACAATCTGGGCTAGGAAGACCATAAAAATGTTCACCAGGTAAAACTAATAAAATCTATCACAAGTTCCTTGTGGAATCTCCTAGCTACTTAAGCGGAGAAGAAAAGGTCTATTCAAGGTCTATAGTTCAACATATAAGCTGCTTAGCAGAAACAGCTTTTCCTGGCCTGAGACCTGAGAGAAAATTCTCCTGTTGGTTCTCAGAAGGGAAACACCATGTGAGGTCCTTAATTACATCCTACAGTGAATAGAATGAGGAATGTCATGCCAGTTTTTTGAAAGATCTGATTGTAGGGTGGGCCAGATAGCTCAGTGGACTAAAGCACCTGCTTAGACAGCCTCAGGAACCGGGTCCAATCTGAGCCTGCTGTGCTGGCTTCACACCTCAGTCACACTGAGATGGCGATTGTGACTGGGAGTGGTGGCGCACGCCTGTAATCCCAGCACATGGAAGACTGAAAACAGGAGGATCACTACGAGTCAGATCTGTGTAGTGAGACCCCCATTTCAACCAAGAGTAAATGTAGAGTGTGCACAGTCATAAAATTATACTCTTCTTATGTTTACACATAAGTCTAAGGGAACTTAACAAAAAAAGCGGATACAGATGAATGTTCATTTTGTATCTGTGTATTCAGAGTGGTTGGGATAGATATATAGTTACATTCTCTTAATGAATAGAGGGATTTGTTCTAATAGTGTTTGTAAATAGGATATCATGTCCTCATCTTGTACAGCAATTAACTACTAGGAAGAATGTATGCAATGTTTTAATTATTGAAACTGTCCTAACAATTTGATTTGAAACTGTCTCATTGTTATTTGTTCTTCAATAAAATTATGGAAAAAAATTAAAAAAATAAAAGCCATATATTAAAAAAATTATACTCATCAAGGATTATAAACTTACCTAAGAGTTTGAGAAGAATTAGACAAGTGAAATTCAGAGCTATTCTTTGACAAGGATCTAGGGACTCTTATTTACCTGGTTATTTTCTTTTTAATTTATATGATGAATAATATCGGATGAAGAGATGAGTTCTTCTGAGCCATTAATTAAAAATCCTATAGATAATAATATCTGCGGTTTTTATAATAAAAATTAAGGCTCAGTTAAACTTTTCCCAAAAGGTTTGCTAAAAAACAAAGGTCCTTCATTCATAATAGACTAGAAAAAAAATATATGTTTGTGCATATGTCTAATCTTGAATCATTTTCCACCTTTTTGCCTATGTCAGGTGTGGTTGGCCTATAACTGTAATAGATACAATAAGAAATTATATGCGGTCATAAGAACAACCGCACCAATGCATGAAGTACATTGTGTACTTGCGTAACTCAATATTATATTACAGAAACATGGATACAAGCAACTATACATGGGTATAATTTAAGTGTAATACAGATAACATGCATATAAAGATTTATTTTATCATTTGGTGGATAAAATATACAAATTCTTTAAACAGCTATATGGATAAGTAAATGAAAATTAACACAGATTAAGACTCAGACAAAAAGTAACACCATCATGAATCAGTGTATTGTAGGTCACAGGCATTCACAGTTTTGCAGCTGTACAGATATTTTTATGAATGTTTTATTTACATTGTGCTTCGGAGGGAAAAAGAAAGGTTAATTTACAATATAAAAGTGAGTGGTCACCTGCTAAAAAGTGCAGTACTTTCATTTTATTCAGTTCAAGACAAAAGCAGGATGGCTCTTTTGGCTCTGACTCACCTCCTTAATTAGGCTCATGAAACGGGTCCCAAAGCGCCAGGGCTTGTGCCGGTTACACTGTAAGGAGCTGACCGTCATCTGGGGAAACTGCTGGACCGCTACAGACACAACGTGCACGGCATCGTACATCAGCGCAGCGTCCGTCTGGAGGCAGAGGGAGAGCGAGAAGGGCTCAGTGCACACGCGGAGACTGGGCTAGGGCATGGGCGGTGGACAGGCCAGGGGGTGAGAAACACTATCAATCAGTTTTTGTTTAAATGAAGAAAACATTTGCTCCAACATGCTGTGGTTCACTTTCTTAACGAAGATGTGTTAATTATATTACCTGTGAACTCCATTAGAATATTTGTACGACCTGTCCCTTCTTGGCCAGTTACCAGTAATAAGTGCCAGTAGTAAGCCAGTTACCCATGGTACCAGAGTCATTGCTGATGTTGGCAATACATAACGACATTCTTTATTTCCCTTTTTCACTTTCTCTATTTGTATTTTACCTTGTTTTGATATAACCATTCTCAGTCTCTATCTCTCTGTCTCTGGCTCTCTCTGTCTTTCATAAAGTGAATACACTTACTAATGTTTTATATGTTTGTACAACTCACATAGAATACACAGAAGAAAATAAGTAAGCAGGCCTTTTATAGGAAGAAGAAAAAGAAACTTTAAAAGAGATTCATTCAGAATGCTTAAAGATATAAACCCTGATCTTTTCTCCGTTTTTCAAAAAACTTCAATCTCAGAAATGATGCTACTGTTTTGAATCTCAATGCATGCATTAATCCCTTTTCAAGAAACTAAGCTTAATCCCTTGTGCTATTTTCTTTCGCTAAAATTTCCATATGAATAAAAGTTCATTTGCTTTTTCAAGTAAAATGAATATGAATTCTACTCTGTTGCACCTGCTCAAGTGACCAACCACTTTAGAGGCTGATGATAAAAAATAAAATGTTTATAAGTCATTACAAACCAGAGGCTCAGGGACTTCGAGTGCTGTGTTAAATGGCCCCTCACATTGTGTGTGACGGATCAGTGCCAGGTTCACTACCTACAGAAGAGGGCCACACGACAGGGCTGGTAGTGCCGAACCAGACGCCATCTGCTTGGCACGCTTTAGAATAAAAGCGTGTGTTTCCTCTTCTCATTCACACAATTAGTGGGCTGTGAAATGAATTCTGAAATGAATAGGAACCCTGTAGATTATAGCGCTTGCCACAACACGATACAAAATGAGTACACATAGTAGCTTTTGCACAAATGGATCTTAAAGAGTTTTAGCACATGAAATGGAAGGCAACTTGAAAGCACAATGCTACGATAGAACATAATAAGAACACTTTACAGTTCATAAATTTTTGAGGAATATGGCTCAGATTCTTAGCCTTTACTTTCTTTCTTTCTCTTTCTTTTTGTCCTTCTTTCTTTCTTTCTTTCTTTCTTTCTTTTTTTCTTTGTACCAGGAATCAAGCTTACAACGTCAGGCTTGCCTGGCAGGTGTTGTGCAATTATAAACTGACTAATTTCACAAAACCAGTTGACTGCATAGTGAGAAAAAATGGAGTGAAATGGATCTAGGCATATGTCCCAGGCCTGAGGATTGCACTAATGCTTGTCTGTGGCTTGAGTTAATGTTTAAAGAACCATACATTACAAAAACATGAAAGATTGAATATTGCTTTCAAAATGATTTTTAAAGTTTATTATTGTTAACAAGTATACAGATAAGCCAATTTTTGAGACAACACTAGAGGGAATATCACAGTATCCTTCCAAGAGTCTGAAAATTATGCATTTTTTCATAAGCCCAATAATCCTCCTAGAATTACCTTGAGAAAAAATTACTTCGAAAATGAAGACTATATATTAGTTATTTTTAAAACTCCATTTAAGAAATGAAATCAAATGATGGACCAGTGCAATAAACTAGAAATTATTAACAAAAAATAATGAGGTATTAAACAACTTACAGCTGCACAACCAATGGATCAAAGAAGAAATTAAGCAGGAAAAAAGTGATCAAAACAAATGAAGACTAGAGATACAATGGAATACAGCAATAGCAACAAATACCTATAACAAAAGACAGAAACATGTCAGGCAACATATTGCTATACCTCAAGAAAGCAGAAAAGTAAAAACAAACAAAGGTCAAAACTCTCAGAAGGAAAGCAATACTAAAGATCAGAGCAAAACTAAATAAAAGCCTACAATTATGCAAAAGATCAACAAAATCAAGAGCTTTTAAACTTCTAATTAGACTATGAAAACAGGGAGAAGACTCAACTAAAATCAGATACAAAAAGAAGACTATATTGCTATTGATACCATAGAAATATAAATCATCAAAGATTATTATGAACAACTATATTTCAACAAATTTGATGACCTAGAAAAATACCTAATTTTTTGGACACATATACCTTAACTATATGTGAATTATGATGAAGTATGTACTGAAAGATCAATAATGAAAAATACTATTGAATCAGTAGCAATGTAGTCTCCCATTAAAGAAAAGCTCAAAGCCAGATATCTTTACTCCTCAATTCTGCCAAGCATTTAAAAGGGAAAAAAAAATTCTTCAAAACTCATTCTAGATGCCAGAGTTATTGTGATGTCTAAGCCAGACAAGGAGAAAACAACAAAAACTTCAACATAGTTGATGAACATAGATGCAAAAAGCCTCAACAAAATGATAGTCAAAATATTCAGTAACACATTTGAAAGATTATTAAGCACAATTGGGGCCAGGGAGATGGCTCAGTAAAATAAGCACTTCCCTGGCAAGCACAAGGGCTTAAGTTCAATTTTTGGTTCCGTCAAAAAAAAAAATAATAATAAAGATTATTAAGCACACTTGATGGGAATTCAACATATGGGTGTAAGAATGGCTGAACATATACAAATCAGTAAACATAACACATCCACAGAATAAGGGACAAATCTCACATAATCATCCAATAGATGTAGAAAAGACACCTGGGAAAATGCAACATATTCTCTTGATAAGCAATGCTGAATGCATTAGGTAAAATGGCAACATGATACAAAATAAAAAGGCCATTGATAAGAAGCCAGCATCTCACAGCATACTCAATGGGACAAAGCAAAGTATTTGATTCTGTGGTCTGCAACAGGTCAAAGGGGCCCATGCTCCACTTTCATTCAACATGATGTTAGAAGTCCTAGCCTCAACAGTCACACTGGAGGTAGAAATAAATAGAATCCAAATAGGGAAGGAAAAAGATTGTAAGGGAAATAGCATAATATTAGCATTAAATGCATAGGTAATTAGAACAGAGAGCCTAGAAATAACCCACTACATCTGCAAGAAATAGATTTTTGACATATTTCCTAAGACTATTTGATGGAATAATGAGAGTCTTTTCAATACCATTGCTGGAATAATTGGATATATACAGGCAGAAAGAAACGTGACCACTATCTCATACCAGTTACAAAATTATTAATGGATTAAAAACTGAAATATAAGACTTGAAATATGAAACTTCTGAAAGAAAACAAAGTGAAAAATCTCAAGAACATTGTGATAGAAACATATTTTTTAGAAAGGATCCCAAAAGCACAGGTAACAAAAATAAACTAACTTCATTACATAAATCTAACCAGCTTTTGAACCTAAAAGGAACAATGATCTATAGAATTAGAGAAACCATTTACAAACTGTATCACTTGCAAGGTGTTAATAAGCAGAAAACATGAAGAACTCAAGAAAATCAACAGATACATAAAACAAACAACAAAACAAATATCATGATTAAAAAGACATACAGATAATGACACACATATACAAAGCTCCTCAACATTAATAATCATTAGGGAAATAAATGCAAATGAAAACCACAATGAGAAATCACCTTAACCCAGTAATAACGGCTGCTACGGAAAACATTAAAGATGACAAGTGATGGTGAAGTTATACTGAAAAGGGAATTCTTTCACACTGTTGATAGCAATATACATTTGTATAGCCGCCATGGAAACTATTATGGAATTGCCTCAAAATACTAAAACAAAACTACAATATTATCCAGCAAAGTCACTCTTGATTATTTATCCAAAGGAAATAAAATCACTATGTCAAAGAGACAGCTAAACTCTTGTATTTTTTTGCAGAACTATTTATAATACTCAAGCAGTGGAAGCCACGTAAGTGTTCATTAATTATGAATAGATGAAAAATACATGTTATATATATCACACATTATATATATATATATATATGAATATATATGAATACTAGCTATGAAAAGAATGAAAACATCATGGATGAAACTACAGATCATTATGTTAAGTGAAATTAAAGAGACACAGAAAGACAAGTCCTGTATAATCCCATTCCTATATAGAAGATTAAAAAATTGATCTCACAAAATTTAAGAGTGAAGTTATGTTTACTAGAGATTTGTTACACAAGGAGAATGAGCGAACTTTCCTTTTGCTCTGGTTGATCACTGAGTACTAAGGTAGAATTAGAAGAAGTTCTGTTGCTCTCATACAAAAGGGTGATTGTATATAACAGTAATATACTATATGGTTCAAAAGTTAGAAATAATTTTGGGTACTTTCACAATAAAGAAATTATAAATCTTTGAGAAGAGAGGTCTCAATCTGTTTTAAACTTGGTTTAAACATTGCACAATGTCCGTGTATTGCAAAACAAATACAGTATCTCTTAAGTATGTACAATTTTTTTGTTTATATAAAAATCTATCACTGTAAAGTGAATCTAATTTTTTAATATGAATTCCTCAATAGCTTGTGAGCAAATTATTTCTGTAGAATTTGTACTCTACAGTCTGTTGATTTGTGGCAAAATCATGAATAGGACTTCAGAAGTCATTCGTAGATTTTTGTCTGAGGTGATTTTCTGTTCTAGTTTCAGAGCAGTTGTCTGTTTGATATCATGGAGTTGTTTCCCAGTAACTCTTCATATCATTTCAGACTTGCCTTTTGCTCTTCTCTACAAAGCTGTATATGTGTTGTTCTATCTACTTTGAAAAGTTCAGAGGAAGCTCTAGTATTTCATGATGTTTCCTTTTCTTCATAAAAAAAAAAAAACTAGGAAAGTTTCTATTATTAGTATGAATAGTTAACATTCCTTCTGTTTTACATGTATAAAGTGT